TTTTTGTAGAGGTACACCAAAATGGGACCGGCCAAGAAGTACGTACGGTCACTACTCGACACCCCTGTTGACACCTTGAGTAAGGCCACTGTTGCTCATTGCGTCTCAGCAATTGACGGAAAGTGGGTGTTAAGTTGTCTCTTTAACGGTTAGTTAAAAACACTATGCCACGAAACATTAGTCTTTGTACTTCAAAATTGCTGTCAAAACACAATAGAAATTTTGGGAGCCATCCAAGTACCCGCGACTTAGCCAAATCGCGACTTACCGAGGCGCGACTTAGCGAGGGGCCACTGTATCAGTAAATAAATAAATAGGGTATGCAACAAACTGCATGATTAATTAACTCGTTTTGAAATACCCATAGATGTTTTTGTAAATATTTATAAATGTAAGTTTAAATTCAAAAGAAAGGTTGTCATTGGCTAGTAGGATGTTCTTTTGTACCATTCTCTACGGATTAACTGGTTGCATATTGGATGATGCTGAGATCATTTTAAAATTATAGTCATCATCACCAGTGACGTCAGCATGTTCCCCCAAATTAACATGAGCAATACATTTTAGGCAATATAATTTATGAGTTTTGAGCTAAGTGAGTGTTGTTGTAACGCCTTGTACCATGTAAGTCTTTTAGTGCCTATACACGATGTTCCACATTATAGTTCCAGAAATTTACAGCCTTTAAATATTGCATGCTGACTTGTTTTAAAAAAAATTTCATTCATTTTGGCTGTCCATGGTGGCTTTCAGTCAGCGATGTATTAATAAGGCCCTTACTGTGAGTATTCTTGGTCTGTAGGAAAAGGGTTTGGGTCGTGGAGTAGAGTAGACTAAGACCAGGTTTGTCTAGTATGAATACAAAGCAGCAACTGTATTAATCATGAAAAATGAAAACTAAGCAACTAAATACTTATACAGGTCAATATTTGTATAGCAGAAATTGTAGGGTAGCATAAAATCGTAAAAACTACATATAGTTAGGCATCTATTCATCTTATCTTGGCCATGAAAGACACCAGACATTTTTGACTCCTGTGTGCGAAGCACAGAAAGGGAGTCTTTGCACTTAGTGTGTCTGTATGTGTGTGTGTGTGTGTGTGTGTGTGGGTGTGTGTGTGTGTGTGTGTATGCGTGTCCGACTGTTCCACTGATATCTCAAGAACCATACATCAGTTTTTGATGAAACTTGGTGCATAGATGCTCTGGGCCAATGCGCAGATTTGATTAGGTTTTGGTAAAAATCCATGCATATTAATTACCTAATTTGCATGATAATTAGCTGATTTTTAGCTGTTTCATGACTGTTCCACTGATATCTAAAGAACCACTCATTGGATTTTAATGAAACTTGGCACACAGATGCTCCAAACTAATGCGCAGATTTGATTAGTTTTGGGTAAAAATCTGTGCAATATTAATTACCTAATTTGCATAATGATTAATCAATTTTCGGCTTTTCCACTGATATCTCAAGTACTAATCATCACATTTCAATAAAACTTGGTACATAGATGTCATAGGACACTGCACAGACCTGATAGTTTTTAGGGTAATATGAGTACATATTAATTACCTAATTTGCATAATTAATTAATTTTCAGCTTTTGATATTTCAAGTACTAATCATCACATTTCAATGACACTTGGTACATAGATGTCATAGGACACTGCACAGACCTGATAGTTTTTAGGGTAATACGAGTACATATTAATTACCTAATTAGCATAATTAATTATATTTCAGCTTTTGATATTTCAAGTAGTAATCATCACATTTCAATGAAATTGGTACATA